TTTTCCAGTTTTGTACCTTCTCATGGAGCTATCAAGCCCACTTTGGTTTCTAAGCACTGTAATGTCTAACCACCCCAGAAATGTACATGCTTTTACAAAATCTTCCAAGAAGTGCTTATAATGCACAAGAATTCATTCCAGCCTCTCCAATTCCTGAAGTTAAGAATTACATCCAAACCCCTAAACTACATTTTTCTAATTGAGAATAAATAAAATGCATTTTCTCATCCTGTTACTTTTAGAGACAAAGGCCAACTACCCCCTTTCCTATGTACCACAAATGAGCCAGCCCTAGCGAGGCTGCACCTATGACCTCTGAGGTCTGCAATAATGAAACTTTTCCTGTAGCTCTGACCATCTGCCTCTCTTTCTGACCCTGGCCTCATTTCCTTCTGCTCATTGAACTCTGACAGTTCCAGGTCTCATCCCTAAATACCCACTCTTCTCTGTCCACAGGGGCTCTTTTAGAGCCTATCCAGTAGTATTGGGAATGATAAGCTATCAGGATTTAGGGTCAAGTGCTGTGGGTCCTGGTTCTGCCTCTGCTCTGACCAGTAGTGAGACCCTGGACATACCATATAACATCTCTGGAAGTGAATTTATTATCTGTGTGTGCACACTTAAGATTAGATAATATGTCATATTTATTCATACCTCTTTAGAGTGCTAAAATTCTACCATCTCCATGAGGATGTTTCAAATACTGCATATTTCTCAAGGCATATGTGTTTAGCCAAGTTTTTATACTATCTTTATTCATTTACCCATTCACCAACAATTCACCCAGCATGTGTCAAGCATTGTGATAGGCTTTGGGTATGCATTGGCCATTAAAAAAAGACATGGTCTCTGCCCTTGTGAAGTTTACAGTCTAGTAAACAATAAACACTGTAAGTATGGTAATAAGCAAGCAACCAAATACATATAAAATTTCAGATGGTGCTAAGTGCTATGAAAAAAATCAAACAAGCAAAATATAATGTAAGAAAATACCATGAACAAGGCATTTCTGAAGAGCTTGATAGTCAAAGGGCAAGAGTAAGAGCATTTTAGGCAAAAAGAATGAATGGTATGTATAGGAGTCCTGAAGCAAGGAAGTGTTTGGTGTGTTAAAGGAACAAAACACAAAGGGCCAGCAGTAGGACCGAGGGTAAGAAGCTCCTCACTATTTTCACTGAATTCAACTCAGTCAGTGGTTCCCAAACTTGTCTGCCCATTAGAATCACCTAGAAATAAACTAAAAATTCCAGAGCTCAGGCCAAACAAATGAAATCACAAATTCTAGGGGTGGAACACAGGTAGCAGTAATTTTACTGATTAACTGCTTGCTTTTCTCATCTATAAAATGAATGGCTTCAACTGAAGCAGGTCAGGTTTCTTTCTTGCTTTCCATTATTGATACTTGTCCTTGACTCTAACTCATGGTGACCCATGTGTGTAGAGTAGACTGGCTCCATAGACTTTTCAAGGCTGTGACTTTTTAGAAACAGGTCACTAGGCCTGTCTTCTAAGGTGCCTCTGGGTCAGTTCAAACAGCCAAAGATTTGTACCACCCAGGGACTCCTTTGCTTTAATACCTTAATCAGGTCACAGCTCTGATCCAGTGTAATGGGAGTTTCCCTGGCATGTGGCCTGCATCACCTTTTAATTTACAAAAGGTAAAAGGAGAGGGAAGCAAGAGGAGAAGGGGGCAACTGACTACCACCAAGAAAAAATAGCTGGGAGCAGGGTGCATCTTTTGGAACCAGGGTCCCTTATCACTAATCTCCTAGACACTGAGAAAGATTAATACCAAGACACATGGATGTCTACAAGAACACCAGGCCTACAGATGTTGAAAGGAGACAAGGACCATCCCCCAGAGCTGACAGAGTGAGAAAGTTTTCCCCTAGAGTTGGTGCCCTGAAGTCAGACTCCCAGCTTCCTAAACTGTAATAGAACAAATTTCTGTTTCTTAAAACCCTCTACTTGTGGTGTTTCTGTTACAGCAGCACTAGATATTTAACATAGAGGTCAATCTGTTCAGAGAAATAGCGTTACTTAGAAATGCAGAAAAATGGGTAGGAGAATGGGGAGAGAAAGACTTTCTTAATTTTTCTCCATGTACTAACCAAAGGTGAAATTGAAAAGTTTGTTCTAAATTAAAACCCTATATTGCTAACAAGGCCATTTCACAAATTGCTTGTTTTAGAATAGATTATTTTTCCTGAAACAGGAGGATCAACTGGAAGAGATGATCCAAAAGAGTAGTAGATCCAGAAATTATTATTTAATTTGTTTTTTGTGTGCTTAAGTTTGTATTACTAACTATGCCTGACTTAGGCTAATATTATAATTAGCTTGACTTTCTGGAGCCCTTATCACCTGCCAGAAGGAAGTTGATCTGGAAATGTACCAGTGAAAGATAACGTGGAAAAAATTACCACAAGTTACCCAAAGTATCTTGAATGTGAAAAAAATGGCACACTATATACCTCCCCTCCCACCCTAAATCCCTCTAAACTGGGAAAAAAGAAGAATATTTTCAAAAGAAAAGTAAATCCACATGGGATGAAAGAAACGAAAACTCACTTCTATATCATCAAGGAACTTCTCAGCTCTAACCCAAAAGGATCTAGAATAAGTCCTTATTCTTGTACCAGAGTATGTGAGTGAAGTTTGTTGGAAAACCTTTTCTTTAATAAAGAATTCACTTAGACCAAGAATAATCCAAGGCATCATTCTTGATAAACAAGACACCACATAAGTAACCTCACCTGTTTTCTGACCCAGTCCTGAGATCACAAGGAAGTTTTCCATCAATAACTGAAGGAGTTCACAAATTTTCAATAATAAAACCATTTTTAAAACATGAGTTACTTCACATTTTTTTTTTCTATTTAAAAAATAACCTTTTCTAACTAAACTGATGGAATCAAGATCTGTTTTGATTGACTTTGTGTCCGTGTATTTCTAAACAGCCAAGTGGTCGATAGTTTGTGTTGCCAGCTACAAGCCAGTGATCCTAGATTAAAATTTGCAAGTGGAAATTTTTTAATTCCCCTCCATTTTCCTTTTGGCTTAAGGAATATTTTAATCCAGTAGTGAGTTGGTAATACGTGCAGTGACACTTAAAACACACATGTAAGGTGAAACTCCCAAGACTATGGCCCATAGTTACCCTTTGGGCCTGGAAATGAACTCACTCCTGTGGCTTCCAGTCAAATCGTACACAGACACGTAAGGTGGACATTTACACCAGGTGATACACTCCTTAGAACAATCAACCATGGGAGACCAGAAGGGCAGTATTTGCACAGGGAGATAGCTCAGAGGGCAGGAATGCATAGGAAAGAAGAATGCAGGGAAAGGGTAACCACAGGGAAGAAGTGGGAAAAGAGCTGCTACATTATGGAAATTTCAATCAATGTCATGAAACAAAATGTGTATGAACTGTAGTATGGAAAATGATTTTGCTCTGTAAACTTTCACCCAATTTTTTTTTTTTTTTTAAATAAAGAAAACACATTAGTAGTTCATGGAGACCAGGCTACCAAGTAATTTTATAGTAGATTATGCCATTTGGAAAATATGATTACAAAATGGCCTTAGTTTTTGATGGAATAAGATAAAACCAAAAATATTCATCAAAAAAATAAACGTGAAAACTTGAATCAAGTATTATGAAAGGTAGAGTGAGTGGAATTATTCTTATCATTTTACCTAATATTACCAAAAACAATTATATTAAAAATATTTCTCCCCAACTTCTAGGAAAAAATATAGACAACTGAATTCACAATAAGCATGTAATACAAGAAGGTGTTAACTCCTTAGTCAACTAAATTGTTCCAATGGTGTGGTATTGAAAGAGAAGAGAAGATTACACACAGGTATGTGTGTGTGTGTGTGTGTATGAATAAATTACATATAAATCCCCCCCCAAAAAAAAATCCAAGACTGTTGAGTAAATTCCAATGCATAGCAACCCTATATGACAGAATAGATCTATTCTATAGTCTTTCCAAGGCTGTAATCTTTACTGAAGCAGACTGCCATGTTTTTCTCCCATGGAGAGGCTCATGGGTTTGAATTGTCTACTGTAGTGGTAAAGTTTGTGTGTCAACTTGGCTGGGCCTGGTTGAGTGGCTGGGCAGCTGGATGTAGTATTCCCCATGATGAGACTGGTAATCAAATCCACGATGGAATATACTGTGAGCAGCTGAGTAGCTGCCTTTGGCTATGTGGTCTGCTTCCCATACGTAAGAAACAGTTTTGGGAATGGTCTGTAGCTTATGGCATGCTTGAGCCCTGCATGTAGCCATGTCATTGTTCAGAAGTCTGCTATGCTCTGCCAACCTTGGGACTTTCTATGGACTTAAATTAATGGCTTGCCATGTGGTTTGGTAACATTGGGGCTGTGCCATTTTATTTGTCAACCTTGGGCCTGCTAGGCTCAGCAGCCACTAGTTGCCTGAGTGAAGAGATGTCTCTAGCTTCAGTGGGCCCTGAGCAAGAGGCAGAGCTTAAGCCCAAAGGGTTGAGGGGCTTTCACACAGCCCCTAGAGCCTGGCACTTTGAACTTGGACTAAAAAGCCTCCAAATTGTAAGAATAAACTCCTGTTTGTTAAGGCCATACCATTTGTGGTATATTCTTGTCAGAGCGGCACTAGGTAACCAGAACAGTGACTTTTTGCTTAGTAGCCAATTACTTAGCCACAGTGCCACCATGGTTCCTTGCATTATGTGTAGAAACTCATACACACCTAGCTGGTGCCAACAGTTTGTGCTTGACTACTAACCTAAAAGTTTGCAGTTCAAGCCTACCTAGTGGTACCATGGAAGAAAAGGCCTGGTAATGTGCTTCTGTTATGACTACATCCAAGAAAACCCTATGGAGCAGTTGTATTCTGTAAAATATGGGGTTATCATGAATCTGAATGGTGGCAACTGACAACAACAACATACGATGCAATTATTTATATAGGAAAACAAAAATATGTGATCAGAGAGGATCTTACCTTTTCAAGTATAGCATTGCCTTGGTGAGGACTGATGTTGTGCTGGCTTATTTCCCTCTTGTATTTATATTCATAAACTTGGTCAGTGATATTGATCAGCAGAGTAGATGGACTAAAGGCCAGTTTTCCACAATCATAGACAGTTCCACTTTCAATATCAGTTGGTGCTGTAGCGTATCGTAAAATTAATCCCATTATGAGGCCTAAAATAAAGAAAAAAGAATTGCACTGGAGGAACACAATCTACAATGTGTTAGACGCTGTTAATTATATGATTTGGAAAGAGTAGAAGTGGCAGGAGAAAAGGTTGGGCCATTGCGTGGTTTAGAAAATAATTCACTTTCACAGAGATCGATTCAATAGATTATATGCTTAAAGCACTTGCAGTTGACACTATTGCTTGAATAGTCAGCATATGTTCCCCCTCTTTTTTCTTCCTGAAGGACCCACAACTTTTGGAGAGAAGAGTTACTTCTCCCATCCATCAGGGTTCTTCAAGAAAACTCTTCTGTGATATATACTGAATTGTCTAACTAAAGAGATGAAATTCCCCTGGAGAATGTTTCTGGTCCACAGATCAAATTTATATCAGCACATGATCTAAATCAGACCATTCAGATTAAAAGGAAGCACTGATTTTTCATGTTTAGGGGGAAAGATAGTCTTGCTTTCTCCCTCCAAAAAAGTTCAAGGCAGTATGCTTCTTCAGTTTTTCCTGAAGGTATCTTGTACCCATGAAGGGATCCAGTACAAAAACAAAGACAATACTTTAAGGATGGCAAAACCACAATATGGCTAGAACCAAATGACAGGTACATCATTGAGCTTCTAAAGCAACCTACTCAAAACCACCCTAATTCTAGACTTCTTGTTATGTGATATTATATATTGTAGTGTAGTGAATTGCCTAAGATGGCCCTTCTAAGCACAGTCCTTCATTTTATGACGTATTATAAATCTTAGCCTGTATGACTGTTTTAGGTGGGAGATATTTGGGGTCCTGCCTTGGGTATGACTCAAGTCACCACAATGTTTCCTTGAGAGTATATGTGATAGTTGGGGTTATGTGTCAACTTGGCTGGACCACTATTCTGAGTAGTTTAAGCAATTGTGATGTGGTTATCCCATGATGAGATCGGATGTGTATGTTGTGGGCAGCCAATCCATTGAAAGGAGTTCCCTAGGGGTGTAGCCTGCTTCCAATATATATATATATATGGACATCCTGGGAAAATAAGAGACTCCTTTGTGGATCTGGATCTTGTTGTACTGCTTACAACTGTCTGTGAGTGAACAATTCACCTTTCATCCTGGTGATCTTTGATTCATCATCTGCTGGAGTCAAGAGGGATATACTGCCTGCCAACATTGAGCTTGTTAGCCCCTACAGCTACTTGAGTCAGAAAAAGCTTCCAGTTTGATGTTTGATCCAGGAACTTGGGATTTGCCAGCTTCTAGAACTTTGTGAACCATTTTCCTAAGATAAATCCTTCTCTCCCTCTCTCTGTCTCTCTCTAAACTTTACTGGTTATGCTTCTCTAGAGAACCCAGACTATCACATTTGGTAGAAGTAGTGGTTCTAGAGAGACAAAATCACAAGGATGGGTTTCCTAAATTGGTTCTCATCGATTCTGTTTTGGTTCTCCAATTTGATTAGTTGTAAAGGCTCTGGTAACTCTGCCTCCATTAGTAAAGATGGCCCTGCTAATCTGTGGTGTGGGGTGGCAACATTAATAGGAAAAATAGCACTACCAATAGATCAAGTATTTTTGAGAAGTGAGGTACTGGGTGATCGCATGTTTGATACTTTTCTGCAATTTTGTCAGCATCAGGAGTATAAAGAAGATGTTTGGTTGGTCCAATTTATGCTAGACAAAGTGGTAAAAGAATGAGATGATTTCAGGGCTGCTGAGTCACAGCTCAAGTGCCACATAAAAGACCTCAATGTTTCCAGTTGTGCCCTGAAAGAAAGCCTTACTTCTTCTAAAAACAGCTGATATTGCCGAAAACTAAACCCAGAGTCTTATTGTAAGGGTGGCTGAATTACAATGCCACTTGAATTGCCAACCCAGAATGGTATCTGAAGTTAAAGTGAGAGCATTGATTGGGAAAAAATGGGATCCTGAAACCTGGGATCGGGACATTTGGGCACAGTCAGGAAGATGATTCAATTGTGTTGAATCCCTCCTGCCAACAGCACCATCCCTCCCATCTGAAGGGATTACTATAAAACAATTATCCCTTCCACATCCATTTGATGGGATTAACCCAACTGTTACTGCTGGGTCATTGCCTTGAGGCAGAGGCCATGGAAGATATTGATGAATGTTCTCAGGAACAGCCTCAACTACCCATTGTTGCTGCTAGACCTATAACTAAAATTAAGTCCAAGCGAGCCCCCAAAGATGAAATACAAAGTGTGACTAAGGAAGTGGTAAGCTACACCTGAAAAGACCTACTTGATTTTGCTAACAAGTACAAACAGAAACCTGGAGAACATGTGTGGGAATGGCTACTGAGGGTATGGGATAATGGTGCAAGGAATGTAACATTGGATCGGTCTGAGCTTATTGATTTAGCACTACTAAGAACAGACTTCATTAAATGTTTCAGCTTGAGAGGTTAGGAAAGGATGTAATTGTTTATTTGGTTGGCTTACTGAAGTATGGATTATGCAGTGGCTTACTGTAAGTCAAGTTGAAGTACCAGACCTGCCTTAGTATAATGTAGAAGAAGGTATCCAGAGGCTTAAGGGAAATTGGCCATTAGAATGGATTTATCAGATTAGACCCCTAGACTAAGAAATGGAGAGCCCAGAGGACACATTTTTTACCCCTACTGTGAGGAACAATTTGTGAGGGGAGCCCCAGCATCCTTGAAGACTGCTGTGATTGCTATTTTATGTAAGATGAATTTGACAGTGGGAACTGCCTTAATTGAACTAAGACACTTAACTATGATGGGGCTGATTGCACCCTGTGGTGGTAGGGCCCAAGTGGCAGCACTTAATCAACAAAGATAAGGTGGATATGGTTACCATAATGGACAGCAGAGTCAAAACAGTAATCAGAATACTCTGACTCATGTAGAATTACGGCATTGGCTACTTAGCCATGGTGTTCCTAGGAGTGAAAATACATGGCAAATCTACTAAATATTTATTTGATCTGTATAGACAAAAGAATTCTAGGTCATATGAACAGCAGTCTAGATTGAATCACCAGAATACATGGCCTGTCAATCAATTCCCAGACTTGAGTCAGTTTACAGACCCACAATCCCTTGAATGAAGGGGAGGCCAGGTCCCCTTGAGGAAGGACCCCACTACATTGCCAAAAATTTATAATGTCAGTCTTTCTCCCAGCCTTCCCCAAAGGAATCTGAGGCCTTTTATAAGAGTAACTATTCATTGGGGAAAAGGAAATAATCAGACTTTTCAGGGATTATTAGATACTGGCTCTGAACTGACACTAATTCCAGGAGATTTAAATTGTTACTGTGGCCCACCAGTCAGAGCAGGGGCATGTGAGGGTCAAGTTATTGATGGAGTCTTAGCTAAGGTGCATCTCACAGTGGGTCTAATGAGTCCCTGAACCCATCCTGTAGTTATTTCTTAGTTCCAGAATGCATAATTGGAATAGATATATATACTGAGCAACTGGAAGAATTCCCACATTGGGCCCCTGACATGTGGAGTAAGGGCCATTAAGGTAGGAAAAGCCAAGTGAAAGCCATTAGAATTGCCTTTACCTAGAAAAACAATAAACCAAAAGCAATACTGCAACCCTGGGGGGACTGCAGAGATTACTGCCACCATCAAGGACTTGACGGATGTGGGGATAGTGATTCCTACCACATCCCCATTTAACTTGCCTATTTGGCCTGTGCAAAAAACAGATGGATCTTGGAGAATGACAGTAGATTATCATAAACTTAATCAGGTGGTAACTCCAATTGCAGCTGCTGTTCCTGATGTGGTTTCATTGCTTGAGCAAATTAGTACATCTCCTGGTACTTGGTATGCAGCTATTGATCTGGCCAATGCCTTTTTCTCAGTATCAATTTCAAAGGACCATCAGAAGCAGTTTGCCTTGAGCTGGCAAGGCCAACAACATACTACCACAGTGTAACAACAATGCAACACACTGCCGCTGAGTCAGATCCAACTCATACCAACCCCTTCTGGGGTTTCTGAGGCAGTATCACTACAGAAGTAGATTGCCCAACCTTCCTTCCAAGGAGTAGCTGGTGAGTTTGAACCACCAGCCCTCTAGTTAGCAGTCAAATGCCTTAGGCACTAGGCCACCCTCCTCTATTACAGTATATATGTGAATTATTCTGGCAGAGTTCTCCCTCTCTACCTCTGGATCTTGCATTTAGTTCATCATTATCTTGCCCCTGGACTTGAGACAGCAGCTTGTCATATGACCTGCTGATTTGAGTGTGCCAGCCCCTGCAACCACGTGAATGAGAAGAATCCTCCAGACCTATGCCTGACCCACAGATTTGGGACTTGCCAGCCTCCCTGTTTCCACCACTTTTAAGCCATTTTCTTGGCAGTGTGTGAGTTCTGTGAGACTGTATAGCAAAAGGAACCCTAAGATGAGAGGGAGAGTACTGAGAGGAGGAAGAAGAGTTGATGTTAGAGATGATGGAGTGGATAGCAGTTTGGAAAAGTTGGACATTTGGGACATCTTTAACCTCTGTTTCATAGGGACCAGCCTATGAGCATTTATTATTTGAGCACATATTCTCTAATTTTTCAAAAAAAATTGAAAGAAGTTTCTGTTTATCTGCAGCCAAGTGTATTGTAATGATTCAACAATCTATTTAGTGAAAAGATGAACCTGAGTGATACACCTTGACTTTTAAGATTATAAACTTCATTAGCATGCTCATGGCAATCTGATAACTGTAAAGTCTTTTCCCATTTATCAGCTAGATGGGGGTGGAATCCAAGGCCCTTGATATAGGTATACTCACAAGCCTTTAGGAGCCTGGGTCTCTGAAACACCAGATGGAGGAAACCCATCCACCAACCAGAAATAACAGCTTTGTATTGTTAAGTGAGTGAAAAAATAACTTCTGTTGTACAACAACACTGATTGGTATTTCTGTCTTAATCATCACTAGTGATAACTTCATTAATACAATATAAAACTACAGATGTAAAAATTCAAGCCTTGAGTTGCAATATTGAAGG